AACCAGCGAAAAACTAAATTTCAGCGTTAACTAACATTCAGTCTCTTTCCGTAAAAAAATTAAATGCGAGCTTTTTAAGAGCTTTCACTGCATTCATTGGTTTTTAAAAACCAACTTGAACCAAAATACTGGTTTTGCTACTGCAAAGACCGCAAAAGAAATGAAACACTTTTACCCAAAGTTTAAATTGTCTTGATGCAACGCTAACAATTGACTTAAAACTGAAATGTGAGCAATTTTGACAAATTGATAATTTTACTGGTTGATAATCTAAAATTTTTTCATCTGAAGTAATATTTTCAAAGGCCTAATAAGTCAATTTCTTTCAAGCTCATTTTGGTCAACGATTTCAAACATGGTCAAAAACTGTTGATTTTCCACGTGGAACATAACAACTTCATCCTGAAAAGCTTTCATGAGAAAAACCGAAAAGTTTTTTTCTAAAAAATTGGCTGTATTACTTGATTTTTCCATTCTAGTCGAATTTGAAGAAAAAAAGTTATTAGAATTGGCCTAATTTGTCTTCAAATCATCATTTTAAGCTTTAATCAAAATTTTTTTTTACCCCAAACAAGCGTTGTTCAAAACAGGAATGAAGAAACGTCGAAATAAGGAAGGCAATAAGTAAAAACATGAGAAAAACTGATTTGTTTGTTATAAAAACTAACAAGCCTGTCTCGAATAATCAATCGGCTAGCTAAAAATTTTTTGGCATTCTTCAAACTCAGCAATAAACTTTGAATTAAGCCATGTTGTAATCTGGTTTGAAAATTTCTTATGCAAGCTATTTAACCGACGAAACTTTGAAATACTTTGAGTAATTTGATAGACCAAATCGATTCGCGAGAACGTTTTCTAAGCAAGCTATTCAAGCCTTGATTTTTCAAAAAGTTTCGAGTTATTTCTCGAAACAAATCGAATGGCAAAATCAAGTTTTTCTATTTAAGCCATTCAAGCCATGAACCTTTAAACTCTTTCAAGTTGTTTTTTAAACCGAATCTTTTTACGAAAATTTAGGGCTTACTCAGCAAGCTATTTCAGCTATGAAAATTTATTTCAGATAAAAGAGGTTTGCCAAGTATTTCAACTTTTTTTAACTTGAAAAACTTGTTAAGTTATTCTAACTTTTTAAGTTTTCTAACTTGTTAAGTTAGTTCATGAAAGTATTCGGATGAAAACGCTGAATTATTTTTCTTCAAGGTATTCACTCGTTCAAAGAGCTTATTACTTTGCAAAAAAAATCAAGTTTTTATTATACAAGCTATCAAATAATTCAAGCTGTATCTTCAACCAAATTGGTTTGCGAAACGTTAAACGTTTTTAAACAAGCTATTCAATTTATTTATAGACAGAGTGATCAAGTTTAAGTTTTTCTTTAGCAAACTATTCAAGCTTTTAAATAATTTAAGTTGTTTCATCAACAGGATTGGACTGCAAAACGTTAAACTTTTTTAAACAAGCGATTCAAGTTATTTCATAGACAGAGTGAACAAATTCAACTTTTTTTAGCAAGCAATTTAGGCTATGAAACTTTGTTTGAAAAGCTTGCTAAAAAACTGGAACATTTTGCGAGTGATTCGGTCGATGAAAAAATTTCAAAGTTCTATAGCTTAAGTAGCTTGCTTAGAAAAAATTAAATTTGTTCTCTCTGTCTATGAAACAACTTGAATAGCTTGTTTTGAAAAGTTTAATGCTTCACAGACCAATTTGGTTGATGAAACATTTTGAATTATTTGATAGCTTGAAGGACAATTGGTCCACATAAAAAGTTGAACGTTTTTTAAGCAGCTATGAAACTTTGAAATATTTTAAGTTATTTCAGACTCAATCAGTTCGCTAAAAAAAGTTTTCTTAAGCAAACTATTCTAGCCTTAAATCTTTAAAACGAAGCGAATCAAAACGCGGAAAGCTTAAGTTTTTCTACGGAACCCGTTTAAGCAATGAAACTTTGAAACACTTCAATTGTTTCTTAAAACGCAAAATATTCAAGCTTTTCTACGCAAGCTATTTAAGCTATAAAACTTCAAAATTAATAGCAAATGACAAATCGTAGCAAATGGCAAACAGTTTTTCTGTTGAAGTCATAGAAGTTATACAAATTTAAAAATTTGTTAAGCTAATGTATAGATTTAAGTAAATTGCAAAAAAAAAAACAAGTTTTGCTTTTCAAGCTTTTAGCAAGAAGCTGAAACAATTCAACTTATTTCATAGAATAAATCGGTTTTCGTAAAATTCAATTTTTTCTAGGCAAGCTATTCAAGCTATGAATTTCTGTAACGAAGTGAATGGGATGGCGAAAAATTTCAGTTTTTCTAATGAAGCCATTTAAGCGATGAAACTCTTAAGCAATTCAAATTATTTAATAGATTGAATCGATCCGTGAAAAACCGAATTTCTCTTAAGCAGCCTATTCAACCTAATAAACTTTGAAAAAACTCAAGTTATTTCATACAGCGAATTGGTTGAGGAACAGTTTTTTTTAATGAGCACTTTAGTCTTAAGTAAGTTGCCTTAAAACACATGTTCTCAGGCGGCAAATTATCAATCTTTACAGTATACCCTGAAACACAGTTGATTAAAACTTGTTTAAGCAGCCGGAAATTTGAATCTTCAAGTGATCTCAAAATGATTCATTGGTCCACATAAAAAATTGAACGTTTTTTAAGCAGCTATGAAACTTTGAAATATTTTAAGTTATTTCAGACTCTTAATTGCTTAAAACTTGAAAATTTCTCATTCAGTTTTCCTCTTCCTTGATTGAAAACTAGTCTGCTATGTCTCGAAAAAATCAAAGCCTACTACCAGCAAAAAAAATCAATTATTTAAAGAAGCGAATCAATCCGCGATAAACCGAATTTTTCTTAACCAAGTTCCTTAAACTATAATACTATGAAAAATTTAGGTTATTTCAGATTAAACCAGCTAGCTAAACATAAATTTTTTCAAATCAAACTGATCAAGCTATGAATCTTTCAAAAGAAGCGAATCAGATAGCGAAAAAAAAGTTTCTAATTGAAGCCTCTAAAGCGGGGGAACTTTGCAAAATTTCAAAAAATTTTATAAATCGAACTGGCTCGCAAAAAAGTTGAAATTTTTATGCATGCAATTGAAAAAAAAACTTGAAAAACTTCAATTTATTTTAAAAGCAAATCAATCCACGAACAATCAGTTTTCAGTAATTAAGCTATTCACGCTATGAAACTTTGAAATATTTTAGATAATTTTATAGAAGGATTCAGTTCGCAAAGGATTTAAGCTTTTATGAATCAGAATATTATAGCTATGAAACTATGAAAAACTTCAAAGACTGAAACGGTTCTTGAGAAATCTGAAGTTTTTTTTTCAGCAAGCTATTCCAACTCTCTGACTTTTTTTGAATTTTTTCTTTGTTTAACCGAATCAGTTCGCAAAAATTGAAGTTCTTCTAAGCATGCTATTCAAACCGTGGAAATTGGTTTGCTGAAAATTTGTTCTTCTAAGCATGAAGGTTGCTGTTTTTAGTGTAATCGTTTGAGAAAATAAAATTTATTTCATAGAGCGAATCGGATGGCGAAATATTTAACTTTTCCTAAGCCAGCTATTTCAGCTAAGTTTTTTTGAAAATACTTAGCTGAAATAGCTGGCTTAGGAAAAGTTAAATATTTCGCCATCCGATTCGCTCTATGAAATAAATTTGTTTCTTAGACCGAATCGTTTTGCGAAATCTTAATGTTTTTCGATTGAAATCATTCATGCTATGATACTTTGAAACATATATTATTTCATAGATAAGTTTTTCGAAGTAAGCTATTATTTATGAAACTTTGAAATATTCCTAGTTATTTCATGTAGCGAACCGGATGGCAAAAAACTATTATTTTTATTGATAAGATTCAAGCGATGAAGTATTAAACACTGTAAGTAATTTCATAGACCGAATCAATTCGCAAGAAAAACAGTTTTTCAATTGAAACCATTCAAACTATGGTACTTTGTAACATGTCAAGTTTTTTCGTAGAGCGAATCGGGTGGCAATGAGTTAAGTTTTCCAATCAAGCTATTAGTTATGAATTTTTGAAGACTCTCAGTTCGATGAATCGGATGGAAAAAGGTTTGATTATTTCTATTGAAGCAATGAAACTTCTGAAGCAATCACTTCATAGACCAAATCATTTCGCGAGAAGTTCTTGCTCAGATATTTCTGAGCAAGCAATTCCAGCTGTTAAACTTTGAAATATTTCAAATTATTTCAAGTAGCGAATCGGATGGCGAACCGTTCAAGTTTTTCTAAGCCAGATATCCCAGCTAATTAAATTTCAGCAACGTAATAGCTGTCTTTCTCAGACCGATTCCTTTTGCGAAAACTTGAAGTTTTTTTGAAGCCCTTCAAGCTACGATACTTTGAAATATTTTAAGCTATTTTATAGAGCTAATCGGAAAACAAGAAGTTAAGATTCTCTAAGCAGGCTTTTAGTAATGAAATTTTGATTTAGTTCAAGTAAATTACGAAGCTAATCGGATGGCAAAAATTTTAAGTTATTCTAGGCAAATTATTTTTCAGGTAATTTTTGGATCAAAATGGTTTGCAACAATGTGTTTCTAAGCAAGCTATTCGAACTAATCTAAAAAAGCTAAAGGTTTTCTAAGCAACCTCTAAGAAGCCTTGTAGATTATTTCATAGAACAATTCGTTTTGCAAAAAAAACTAAGCTTTTGTAAGCAAGCTATTCAGGCTGTAAAGTTTTGAAATATTTAAATTTACTTTAACGAACAAATCAATTCGCAAAAACTTAAGTTGCTCAAAGCAAGCTATTTGAGTTTTAATAGTTTGAAACATTTAAGTCATTCCACAAAGCAAATCGTTTTAGTAGCGATCAAAAAGGGCTTGGTACCCACCTGTCCAATTCACCCCTGTTAATATTTCATATCTCATCATCAGTGATTCGGTTCAACCAACGCCACCAAAGGTACGAATCTGTCAAGTTAAGATTGATGTACAATAAACTACTTCAACAGCAAAAATTAGGAAATAAAACATTTAATTGTTGAAATTGACGTTAGAATAATTACTATCAACCCGATAACATTATTTTATGTAACAGTTCTAGCAGCCTTTCGACACAAAAAATGGCGTTAATACATGAAGAAATTAACAACAAAACTCAGAGATATGTTTGAAAATGACTGACGCTTCACAACAAAAACGTCTAAATCTCTGAGAAAACTAAGTGACCCGAAACAAAAAAATCGCGAAACTCTCGACACTTAATATTGAATATTCGAGTCACTTGCTAGTATAATAGTATATTTACAGCTACCATCAATCTAGTTCATAAAAAGACAAAGATAAATTTGTATTTAATTTGAAACCCGAGCAAATCAATGAAAAAAATTTCTTCAAACTAAGGATTTTATATTTCCGCATACAATTCATTGCGTTAAGCTCGTTTTGAAGAAAGTTTTTTCTTGCTGAATGATTTGCATGAAACGATAGGATAACTAAAGGATTCTAAAGTGACGCCCAATCTGTAATTCTCAATGCAGAATTCACACAGATATAAAGTATTTAGTCAGGTGTCGAAAAAACCACCACTTTTCATTGAAAATTGGGCCATTTTAATAAGGTAATAGAATTATGACCCAAAATAAGTCAATGAAAGACGGCAGTTAAGTTACTCAGTAGTCCTGACAATAAATCTGAAAAAAAAGTAGGTAAGCTTCTTGTTTGCTTTCGATTGAAGCCGATGACTTCAAGCCCTGCTATGTTAATATTTCGGGGGAGAAGATTCGAGTTTCAGATATCATTCAACGCATATTTTGTTTTTAATCTAGAAATCTACAACTTTTATCTACCAATTAAAGTGACAGGCAATTATTTGAAGATTTATAATGAGCACTGGTTTTAAAGCTCAAACGCCCAACAACTCGTAAACAAGTTAGATGTTGATTAATCGAAATTTGACTTTTTCCTACCCCCCAGTAAAGTATCAGAAATTTTACTAGTAAAGTTACCGTTCGCATTGTCCGATTGTTGCAAAAATTGGCGCGCAGACTAGGCCATGACCAACAGTTGGGCCTGATACTTAAACTTGATAAAACCCTGCTTACACCAAAAAAACTGATGCTTATGTGAGGTTGGGGGGGGGGGGGGGGGGAAGGGAAAAAAGTCCCGAAATTTTTTTGTATAATCATTAGGAAACTTTGAGCTGTTGACCAGAACTTTAAATCAATTGGCAAAAATTAAGCAGAGCAGAACAAGCTTTTTTTATCATGTCAACTTGAATTTGAAATACTCAATTTCAAAGACCTCAAAAGCTTGTTCAACTCCCTTCAATTGAGAAAGAAGATACTCTTCGTCTAACTTTCGCCAAACAATGGTGAAACACTTAATGATGTCATTTAATGGGCGCTGTCTTCCTAATTATGTTTCTGATTTTTAACGGTTTTTCGTCTAGTCATCACGAAAATGAGGATGCCGATATGTGAAATTGGCAGACGATTAATATTAGCTAGTTTTCCATCATTTTCAGCTAGAATGCTTGGTAAACTTTCTCTTCAATCTTTATGAACATACTTATGAAAGACACCCCCTTAGATAAAACACTATATTTGACAGTTTGCTCTAGAGGGTAGAAAGAAGTGGACTTAAAGTGAGTTTCTTTGTGGGTTAGGGCTAGAACAGGGTTTTCTGTTCTGTTCTTTTTAGTTGTGCTGTATTGAGAAGAGTGCTTCTTTCTTTCGGTGTTCTTTCATACTGAATTTCTTCATTTGAGAGCACCATTCAGTCTGTATATCTAAAACATAGCCAACAGACAGTTGGAAAAGAACAAGGAAACCAAAAAATGAAAGAAAACTTTAAAACGTTTTTCAACTTTCGAATATCATAAAATCAAATTTGAGCGTAAAAAAAATTTTAAAGACTTTCCTGAAAAAAATATTCAATACCCATTTCTTTCTTTTGCACTTTAACACCAAAAACAGATATTTTGAGGAAAAAATGTCCAAACATTGCCAACTGACAGTTGGAAAAGTGTTGAATGCAAGGAAACAGAAAAAAAACAGTCTTGTTTTTTGAAAATTTCTCAGCTTTCGAAGAAAAAATGGATGGCCTTAAGCACTTCGAATTTCTAGAACAATTTATGATTGAAAAATTTTTCGTAAAAGTAACCCTATTTGAGAAAACTGGATCAATAAGTAGAAGTTTTATTTCCCTGGCAGATGTGAAAATTAATTTCCACTTTCGAAACTAGAAGTCGATCACGTTTTTCGTGACCTTTACACTTTAACTGTTCGCTAGTGGATTTTGCCTTCCTTTTAAAAATGGAAATGCACTGAACTTAAAAAAATTACAAATAAAAAAAATCAAAATAAGCGTGAACAAAAATTTTAAGACCTTTCGTGAAAAAACAAACAATCAAAATCACCAAGACTTATATGAGAGTCTTCATTACATTCATTACTCTTAAAAAGAGGGTTTCGAAGGGGGTTTCAGCATTGAGAAGCTGCTTTTACGCGAGATAAAAAGGCCAGCACAGCTTGATTAGGCATGTTAGAACCTCTAAAATGCAAGAGGCTCAACTTCCAAAAAGTTTCAAACATCTTTAAATTGAGTTTCATTCGTTACAAAGTAAGGACAATGCAGGTCTTCTAGATTGTTAAATAAATTCTAGAAAAACTGGAAAAATTACTGATTTTAGACTAATATTGATCGGACTCCTTTCAGCAAATTTTAGAAAACAAAACAATCAGCAATACTCACTGTTTAAAAACGTTAACTAATAAATCTGGAGGAACTGAGGTGACGATAACTCAATCTGAAACAAACACAAACACCAGCGTAACTTCTTTACTCTTCACTAGTCCATTATTAAACATTACTTTCATGTAACATTATAAATTTCCATAGACTTGCTTCATTTTACCACCATAATTTTCAGTTCCATTTTCATTCCCTGGTATAGATACACATACATTCCAATGACACATGTCAAGGTTCCTTTGTTTTACTAACTTCTGATTGCAAAATGACCTTTAGAGTTTTTGTCTTCTCTTGAACTCCAGGCTCAAATGCAAATATGTCACCATAGCAACTTCATTTTTGCGTCATTTGTTCACAAAATAATAAATATGTTCTCGAATAATTATAGCTTCAAAGTTTTGAATATTCTGACGCCGCAAGAAACATGTTTTCGTTCCTCAGTAGCAAACTCGATTAAGCAACTACAAAATTAAAAGCACAATACGTTGCTTTCATACCATTCACAGATATTTAAACGCTTCAGACGGTATTCAGATTATGCAATGATTGGTTTCAAACCATGTTTTAAGTCAGTGGCGTGTTGTTATGGTATATATGAACAGAGATGGTAACGACAACTAATCGATTGTAAAGCGGTCAATTTTTACTTACTTCTTTGGTCTGAATGAGCAGCTTTTGCTCCGTTGTTTGAGCTGGCAATAGCCTAAAATAATACGGCATTTGGAACATTCGGAACAGTCCTTTTCAATCACTTTCCACATCACATTTAAGAGAGACGCTAGTTAGGGCTGTAAAGTAGGGCCCGTAATTAATAAGTTTAGACTTTAATGACACTTAAATAGCGTTAATTGTCATTTACAACAGACTTTAAGTGTCGAAACCTGTATGAAGGTAAAATTAATTGGCAGTATGTATTATGTCTGTTGCGCATAAATTACCTGGATATCTCAATTGAGCATACCTAGATCTCTAAATTGAGCATACCTGGATCTCTAAATTAGGCATACCTGGGAACTCTGCATGGGAACTGGCTCTTGTCCGCCGGACCTCTGCTGTCGGAGCATGGTCCAGTCGAACATGTAGTCGTACTGGTGGTTGAGGGTTCGGAACAGGATGCGGAACAGCTGTCTCAAGTACATGTAGTCTGGGGCCTCTTCGAAGCGAAGGTGCTTGCAGTAGTTCAAGTACATGCCGAACTCCGCCGGAAATCCCTACATCACAGACGAAACTTATAAATACCAAAATAATTTAACCTTAAAATATTTAACCAAAATAATCAAAAGAAAACCTGACTTTTGACATACGATTCCTTGTTTTGATTTCATATTTTTTTGCTCAATTCAAAGCGAAGCCCTGAATGTTCCGACTGCCCTTCAACGTCTTTAAAACAGATTTTGAAAACTTCAACTGAAAAATGACAAAATTTCCAAAAAAAATGATTTTGTGAAAACTTCTCCCCGCACGGTATGCCAAGTACAAAAGGATGATCTTGGCGTCTAGTAACGTATTCAAACCAAAAGTATCTTGCCGTAATTCAATTTGGACATTTCATGAGCGCATTAAAAACAGTGCTGATTTAAACTTTTCGGGCAAAACGCATCAAACTTGGAAATTTAAAACGCTTTTTTTTCAAACTGAGTTGTCTTTAGGTGCAAAATGATTAAAACGAAAATTGCTTAGGACTTCAGCAGAATTAAAATGGTGCAATATGTTTTGTTTTGCAAATCTCAGGCCCAAAATTTTACCTTAAAAATGGATCATTTTTGGCTGTTTTAGTCAATCACTGACATAATTATATGAAACAGCCCATTACGTAGCCCAAAAAATTTGTAGAAGAGTTTATTCGCCAAAGCATTGTATTAATTATTTATTTTTGTTTAATACACAAAAAGAAAATTGATTTTTACTACATAAAACACCAATTTCACATTCAAAAACGATTTTTAAAAGTTTTGCGCAATTTTTTTAGCTACGTAAATCTTAAATTTTTTTGGCTACGTAAAAATCTCACTTTGATTTAATTATGTCAATGATAAGTAGTTTTGGTGCAATTTTCGATTGACTAAAAAACCAAGAAAGATCCATTTTTGGATTAAAATTTTGGGCCCGAATTGCCAAAAACAAGTTGCACCATATTAATTCTGTTGAAATTGTAAACAATTTTCTTTTGCATCAATTTTCACTTCAATTCAACCCAATTTGGAAAAAAAGCATTTTAAATTTCAACTATATTGCGTTGTAATCCAGCACTGTAGGCGCCTACGCGTTAATAACACGAAATATTTCGCGTGTTAATTGTCACACAAATTAGCCGAATTGGCAATTTTTCAAAAAAACATTACAGGTAAAATATAACTTTGAATTTGAGCTCAGCACAGCAATAACTTTCAGATGATTTAAGAATTTTGTTCGAAAAAGCCAGCTAAAAAGTCGAAACTGGTCTGGAGAAAAAAACAACCCCGAGTACCAATAGTACATCACTTTCTTTGAAAGTCACAAGACTAATTCTTCCAACAAACCGAAGGAAAGGGAAAGAATTATGGCCTACAGTGATTTTTACGACGCAAAATCAAGTTTGAAGAATACACATCAGATGCAGTCGAGTGATATAGTAGAAAGTCACTTTATTTTTGAACTCGTTTCTAGCTCGAAATTTCGTGTAAGTCCTTTCGAGTTCAAAAAAACCTTGACTAAAATTAACTTATTTTCAGCGTGCGATACGAAATTTATTCAAACAAATCACTCACTTCCAAGTTGTTTCAGCAGAAATTTTCAACCAAACTAGACTCAAACTTTATAATTTGAATCTAATTTTTATTCTTTTTTGCTTATAAAGAAAACGGCCGAAAACTTGAAAATTTAGCCAGCATATTTTGGAAAAGTGACAACAACCGCAAGAAAACAAAAAACAACTGAATTAAGTCCTAAAAAATTATCCAACCAACAAACTTCAAAAATGTGCTCGCGTAAAAAAAAGACCAGAACCGGTTTACTCGACAAAGATCTGTAACGTCAAACATGTTAACGTTTCTTAATGACCTGTACGATGCATATAAAAGACAAAATCATCACATAGAAGCCCTTTACATGGATTTTGCCAAAGCCTTCGACACTGTCCCGCACTCAATCCTGTTAACGAAACTAAAACATATTGGCGTTAGAGGTAAACTGTTCTCAATAATCAAGAACTACCTAAGAAACAGAAAACAATGTGTAAGATGGGGCGATGTCATCTCAGAAAAACTAGATGTTCTGAGTGGAGTACTACAAGGGTCGCTGTTAGGTCCCTTACTCTTTTTGATCTTCATAAATGATTTGCCTGGCTCTCTATTCTGCAGTACAATATACCTTTTCGCAGATGACTTGAAACTTTTGCTGACAGGAAAATCTTCTATCACAGATGCCAGCGTACTGTAAACCGAAATTAATAGCCTTCTTTTGTGGGCTGACTCCAATGGTATGCAGTTTGCCGTTGATAAATGTCATAGTGTACTTTTTCGAGGAACATGTTTCAAATACTCGCTGGGGGAAACTACATTAGGACTAATTCTTCCAACAAACCGAAGGAAAGGGAAAGAATTATGGCCTACAGTGATTTTTACGACGCAAACTCAAGTTTGAAGAATACACATCAGATGCAGTCGAGTGATATAGTAGAAAGTCACTTTATTTTTGAACTCGTTTCTAGCTCGAAATTTCGTGTAAGTCCTTTCGAGTTCAAAAAAACCTTGACTAAAATTAACTTATTTTCAGCGTGCGATACGAAATTTATTCAAACAAATCACTCACTTCCAAGTTGTTTCAGCAGAAATTTTCAACCAAACTAGACTCAAACTTTATAATTTGAATCTAATTTTTATTCTTTTTTGCTTATAAAGAAAACGGCCGAAAACTTGAAAATTTAGCCAGCATATTTTGGAAAAGTGACAACAACCGCAAGAAAACAAAAAACAACTGAATTAAGTCCTAAAAAATTATCCAACCAACAAACTTCAAAAATGTGCTCGCGTAAAAAAAAAGACCAGAACCGGTTTACTCGACAAAGATCTGTAACGTCAAACATGTTAACGTTTCTTAATGACCTGTACGATGCATATAAAAGACAAAATCATCACATAGAAGCCCTTTACATGGATTTTGCCAAAGCCTTCGACACTGTCCCGCACTCAATCCTGTTAACGAAACTAAAACATATTGGCGTTAGAGGTAAACTGTTCTCAATAATCAAGAACTACCTAAGAAACAGAAAACAATGTGTAAGATGGGGCGATGCCATCTCAGAAAAACTAGATGTTCTGAGTGGAGTACTACAAGGGTCGCTGTTAGGTCCCTTACTCTTTTTGATCTTCATAAATGATTTGCCTGGCTCTCTATTCTGCAGTACAATATACCTTTTCGCAGATGACTTGAAACTTTTGCTGACAGGAAAATCTTCTATCACAGATGCCAGCGTACTGTAAACCGAAATTAATAGCCTTCTTTTGTGGGCTGACTCCAATGGTATGCAGTTTGCCGTTGATAAATGTCATAGTGTACTTTTTCGAGGAACATGTTTCAAATACTCGCTGGGGGAAACTACATTAGGACTAATTCTTCCAACAAACCGAAGGAAAGGGAAAGAATTATGGCCTACAGTGATTTTTACGACGCAAAATCAAGTTTGAAGAATACACATCAGATGCAGTCGAGTGATATAGTAGAAAGTCACTTTATTTTTGAACTCGTTTCTAGCTCGAAATTTCGTGTAAGTCCTTTCGAGTTCAAAAAAACCTTGACTAAAATTAACTTATTTTCAGCGTGCGATACGAAATTTATTCAAACAAATCACTCACTTCCAAGTTGTTTCAGCAGAAATTTTCAACCAAACTAGACTCAAACTTTATAATTTGAATCTAATTTTTATTCTTTTTTGCTTATAAAGAAAACGGCCGAAAACTTGAAAATTTAGCCAGCATATTTTGGAAAAGTGACAACAACCGCAAGAAAACAAAAAACAACTGAATTAAGTCCTAAAAAATTATCCAACCAACAAACTTCAAAAATGTGCTCGCGTAAAAAAAAAGACCAGAACCGGTTTACTCGACAAAGATCTGTAACGTCAAACATGTTAACGTTTCTTAATGACCTGTACGATGCATATAAAAGACAAAATCATCACATAGAAGCCCTTTACATGGATTTTGCCAAAGCCTTCGACACTGTCCCGCACTCAATCCTGTTAACGAAACTAAAACATATTGGCGTTAGAGGTAAACTGTTCTCAATAATCAAGAACTACCTAAGAAACAGAAAACAATGTGTAAGATGGGGCGATGTCATCTCAGAAAAACTAGATGTTCTGAGTGGAGTACTACAAGGGTCGCTGTTAGGTCCCTTACTCTTTTTGATCTTCATAAATGATTTGCCTGGCTCTCTATTCTGCAGTACAATATACCTTTTCGCAGATGACTTGAAACTTTTGCTGACAGGAAAATCTTCTATCACAGATGCCAGCGTACTGTAAACCGAAATTAATAGCCTTCTTTTGTGGGCTGACTCCAATGGTATGCAGTTTGCCGTTGATAAATGTCATAGTGTACTTTTTCGAGGAACATGTTTCAAATACTCGCTGGGGGAAACTACATTAGGGCCAGCGAGCCAAATCAAAGATCTTGGCATTATCATATCGAACAACATATCTTAGAATCGTCACGTTTCATCAAGAATAAACAAAGCAAACCTTATCTTTGACATGGTTCGGAGAAACATTTCTCGTGGTACGATAACGATAGTCAATATTTCACTTTATAAAAGCATGATAATACCTGTCGTAATAATTGGTTTTTCTTGCTGGGCACCCAATCGCACTGAAATGAGAAAAATTGAGTGTGTTCAACGACCGATAACCAATTGGATACTTAGTTATCCAGATCGAAGTACTTAAGAAAGCCGATTAATTTCACTCAATCTTCTTCCGTTGTCATTATATGGAAGTAGTAGTTGTGCAGTTTGCCGCCGATACGAACACCAGGAACTCGAACTACCTGCGTTTCATTGTTCGCCCACTAAATTGAAGAAAACTAATTGTCTGCGCTGAAGATGTCAGCGCCTAGTGAACCGCCTTCCCGTAGAACTCGATTTTTTCAGTGTAGTCGGACTTCAACCAAGACTCCTTTCCTTTGTCTGGCAGTATTTCCACAGCGTGTACAACGAAGAAAGAAGCTGCACCTGGACAGTGCACTGTGACTGTCTATCCTGTGTTGCTAATCGCTTATAACTTTCGGGAGAAATCCCATCAATTCCTTTGAGTTGTAAAGTCATAATAATAATAATAATAATAATAATAATACAAAAGCTCCTGAATTTCTGTAACCGTTTATGATTGACTTTTTTAAACTAAATTGAACACAATTTAAAAACACTGGATCAATGGTAAGTTTTTAGTACCCTGAGAACAAAAAAAAAGCTTTCAAAATAAAGAAAATCCACTTTCAATGACAATCACGTTTTTTGTAATTCAAGTCAAACTGCAAAAAAATTCCATCTAAACGTGAACAAAGTTAAGACTTTTTCCCCCTACAGAAAATCATCAATACCTATAAAGAAATCTTCACTAGGTTCATTGACTCTTAATCACCAAACAGTTGGAAAATGGTGAATGAACTCAAGGAGACAATTTCTTCGAAATACAATTTGAAAAACAAAACGATCAAAAAGTAATTTTTTACGCCGTCAAATTCACTTTAGAACCAAGAAAAAATTCTTTACACTCATTCGACTGAAATATGCGGCAACAAATTAAGTCGAATATTCCTATATGTTACAGATCCAATTTGATTTCATCGAGATGAAATTCAGTGATACACAGAAAATGCAAACACAAAAAAAAACACAGAAACGTGCGTGCGAAATTGGCTGAGAAAAAGACGACTAGTACACGAAAGCGAGGTTGCACTGGAAAAAATACGACCTTTAAAATGTCTTCTCTACGTTCATTTTTGCTCATTTTCAAACGGATGTTGTCTGAAAAACCGGAAGTGACCGGAGGTAGCATTTTTTCTCAAGTTTCTGCGTGAAAATTTTTTTCAATTAAGTTCAAAATGAATTTGATGAAGTTGAACAATATTGTACAAGATAAAACTGACGATATAAATTTTCTAACTGAGAAAGGATTGTTACATGCAGATAGATGCTGTAATAAATAAGGATCTGTAATGAAATTACAGTTAATTGACAGGGAAGATTGACGGCGTTGTAATACAAAAAAATGCAGACAACAATCCCAATTGAAAAGCGGCACCTGGTTTCATGGGGCACATCTATCATACAGCAAATTCACTTTACTTATTTACTGTTGGGCAAATGAGTACACAACTGTTGCATTTTGTCAAAAAGAGTTAGAATTATCTTCTACAGAAACGATTGTCGATTGGAACTTAAAAGAAGTATGTGCTCAAGCTGTTGGCTGATTCTTTATAAATTGGCGGAGTAGACAAAACTGCAGAGATAGACGAGTCCCTTTACAAAAAGAAAGTATAATCGAGTACATGCTGTCAAAGAGCAAAGGGTTTTGGTGGAATTTGTAGGGAAACGGGCGAACCTTCTCTTATGCCGTATCTAACTGAACGAAAGAAAATTGATTCCAATTATGGAATAATCAATTCAGAAAGGAACTCAGATGATTTCTGATGAATGGAAAAGTTAGTCAAACGTTGATCAATTACCGGAAAAGGAATTCAGTCATCTGTTTGTGGCGACAAAGAACCAAACGAAAAGACTTATTTGAATGTATTATGTCTGATATTGTTAGTTATAAACCTCTATCGTAAATTGAAAATTTTGAAAAACATTTTTAAAAGGTGGCGGGAAAGGAAAAAGAGCCAACACGAAAGACAGTAACCTGGAGAGACAGTATTTTTTTGCAGTTTCTTACCATGTGCATTAGATTTAACCTAACCAACAGACAGTTGGAGAAAAGTATATGTGAAAAGGAAAAGAAAACAAGACTGATCATTTATTTAGAAAAATCTCAGCGCTGAAGCGATGCATAGCATGCTAAATATTGCAAATGAAGCACGGAAGACAGTAAATAATACGAAAAAACCTTGGAAACGTGGAAAAACCCAAAGTGAAAGCGAGTCTGAGCAAGACGATTCCTGGTCATAATCATTTTTAACACAGAGGCAAACATTAGCGAGAAGACCACAGAAAGTAGCTCTATAAAGTGCAGTGAGAAAAAGTAGAAGCCTCGAATTAGTAAAAATTCCTCTTCGTATCGGATTCGAAACTACTAACCACTCAGCCGAGGACGCTTAATTGATTACAAACAACAGCCACGAAAAAGCAGAGAACAGATGCTATGCAATTTCCAATGTTGCGGTGAAATTTCCTTATAAGTGAACACTTTCAATGATCTCTTTATTTGCGAGTTAGGTAAGAAAAAAAGAAGTTTCGAACTAATACACTAACGCTCGCAAGTGTAAAAATGCTTGTGTAAAACGTAAAAAGCATAATTAAATATCAAAACAGAGATGATTGCTCAAATGCTCTTCAAACCGAAAACCACTATCACATGATTTGCCTAATTGAGACATCGCTAACAGAACAAATATCAGGCTCTTCCTACCAATTGATGAGATATATTGTAAAGACAGACCCAGTTACAACCGAACACAAATCACGGACACCTGCTCATAATTGTAACCAAAACATTCCGAGCAAGGAAACCATATCCAATTTTCAGGGTTGCATAATCATCAACCTAAATCTTGAAAGCCCAATAAAACTTTAAGAATATGTCAATGAAAGGGTTATTACCAAACCCCTGAACTTAATGTCCTAAGACCTTTCTTTTATTTTTATTATCATAATAAGCCAACTCGCTCGCTTTGCTGACTCAAAATTGAACTACAACTCTAAAATTATAAACCCTGTTTCTCAAAAATTTTCAAGGTCGTTCGAATCACGGCTGAAATGGCTTTAAAATGGCTAAATTTAACACAATTTGAAAACACTGGATCAAAAATAAGTTTTTAGTCCGCTAAGAACAAAAAAAGCTTTCAAATTAAATGAAATCCACTTTCAATGAAATTCACGTTTTTTTTCAATTCAAGTCAAACAAGTCACTCCGATGATTATTTGCGGAGAAAACAGAAAAAAACCTAATATACCCCGAATAGAAAATTCCTCCCCGTTTTCGATAGTCGGAACACATAGCAACAATTATAACACAGGCAAAGCTGCGCTTCGCAAACACTTGCGAGAACACGACCAAAAAGCAGCTCTATCAAGTGACATAAGAAAAAAGAGAAATAAGCCTCGAATTTGCAAAAACTCGAGGCTTAGCCAAACCTCGAATAAGCAAAATTCTGCAACCTAGCAAATTTGAGTCTCATACACTAACCATTCAACCACGGATGCTTAAAATCCCCAAAAACTAGCCACCAATAATGCAGCTGCATATGCTAATAAATTGCCAATTCGATGCAGCAACAGTAGCATCGAATACAAAAAGATACAATTTTGCATGTAAAAAATCGCATGTAAAAAATCATTGAGCTATATTATCTAAAGTTTCAAAAAATTGCGAGATATGTTTCAAAAAATGCGATTATTGTTATGTTGTTTGAAACAAATAGCTTTCTTTTCACTTGATGAATTAAAAATGCATCAACTGTGTAAACTTAAAACTATTCGAATGTCAGAGCACAAAATACCAATAAGCTGTAAAGGTGCAACTAAATATCAAAAGTGCAACTAGAGGCAAGTTAAAGCTTGAAATCCCTGTTTGATAATTTTTCTAATTTTTGTGTTGATGCGGAAGGACAAGTGTAATTTCAAAAACATACCTATAGCAAAGAAAAGTAAATCCCAATTTAATGACTTCAAAATCTGTTAACTTTATCAATTACTTCAGTTTTCTTAAAAATCGAATTTTTTGTTTTTTCCCCATAACTCGTCCGTAAGATTGAAACTATAGTCTCAGGTTTTAGAGGATAGTTTTTGAGACAAAACAAAAAAGTTTGAAAAAACGGTTAAAATACCAAAAATTTGACTTTTTTTAGGGCCATAACTTTCTGCATAAAAGAAATTGCGCGTAGCCTTTAGACCCGCAACCTGTTCTATCCGCTGAACCCCAAATCTCAGATTTGGAGGATTCGTTTTCGACAAAATGTGAAAAAACCAAAAATTTGGGTCAAAAGTTCCCCCTTTCGAAGGCTGTAGAAAGTGGGGTAAGGTAAAAGAGAGAGTAGGTGAGTATGCAGACACACAGGAGCGTGGGTGGATTTCCCATATGTACCACTCTTTTGAATATCGGTGTAGTAGTTTTTGAGAAAAACGAAAATTTTCCAAAGCTTCTCAAAATTTTTTTTAAAAAACCCGATCTTAATAACATTTTCATAATACCTGTTTTTATCAAACAGAAAAAAATATCAAAATATCTTATTGACAATTCGATGCAGCAGAGTCGACGCAGCAAATATTGCTGCTTTAAATGGCAACAAAAATTGCTTAGGTTGGAAAAAAAGAAAGTTCTTACTATAACACATTGCTTCGCAGGTGTAATCAATGATATTATATGGGTTCAAATCTAAATTAGAATTATTTGTTGAATATATGCCTTTTCTACCTTGCAGAGAGATTCGACTGAAGTGTTTGTCTTCTTCTCTGAAATCTTCTCGTACTTCTGTTTCTTCGTGTTGGCCTTCAGTCCCTGCCATGGAAGGGCTGATCTATTGAAGTACATGAGCACATAGCCCAATGATTCCATGTCATCTCTCCTGCTCTGCTCAACTCCCAGATGTGCGTTGCAGCTGGCATAACGAGCTGTTCCTGTCAAGTTCTTATCTTCTCTGTAGGCGATGTGCTGTTTACTCTTCGGATCTCGGAACTTTTTAGCCAGCCCGAAATCGATCAGGTACAACTGGAAATATAAAACGAAGACAATAGAACTTTCTATTCAATTGTGCATATTACACAAGCAAAAATGCATTTCAAAAAAAATACCTATCATTAAACCGAATCGATTTTTTTTGTGAAAATTGAAAATCAGAAGTCACGCTTTTGAGAAGACCATCAAAAGACTGATACTGTGTTAGGTGTTACAAGAAACTCTAATTAAAAATAAATTTTTAGAGGCTTGAAGTAATTAAAAATCGACAAATGAAACATTATTTCTTAGAACAAAACGAGTAACAATTGACAGTTCTCTAAAATCATCAGGATTCTGCCTCGTGTTGTAATTAATAGACTATCACGAGTGCACAGAAGTTAACTCGTATCAAAACACATTTTTTATGTGAAATAAATTAAACTGAAAATAAATTTATAAGTTACGAAAATTTTTTAGATTGACCTTGTTGCAGTGCCTGCCAATACCCATGACGAAGTTGTCTGGTTTTATATCCCTGTGAATGAAACTCTTGTTGTGAACGTATTCTATCCGTCCAATCATCTGATCTGCCAGCATTAGCACCGTTTTCATAGTGAACCGCCGGGAGCAGAAATTGAAAAGATCTTCTAATGAGGGTCCCAAAAGGTCCATTACAAGAACATTATACTCTCTTTCCTGACCGAACCAGCTTAAAAATCAAGGTTTAAACATTACTGATGGATGCAACTTAACACTTGAATAGAACTATTAAAAATTTTGTAAACTAACCGAGCATTTGGAATACCGAGTCCACCTTGGATGATGCGGTATATTTTGTACTCGTACTGAAGCTGTGGGTGACGAGCTTTAGTTGGCTCCATCTTAACTGCAACTTCCTTCAAAGAAAAAAAAACATTAATGTTTGTTTACATTACATTAGTGGTTACACAAACAGTGTTAGCAAATACCTCTCCATTGCAGACATTTATTCCCAGAAAAATATCTCCGAATGAACCACTTCCAATTTTCTTGATTAATCGATATTTTGAGCCGACAATAAATTGACGCCCAGATGAAATATTCGACGACATCACAGAATCAGTGTAAACCAATTGTCAATGACAACTATCTAAAAAGAAGAGTCAATATAAATGGGGGACGCAGCCCAGCATCACATCAATTGGTAAAACATAGGCAACTGACAGTTGGAAAAAAGAAATGACCGCTAGGATACAGAAAACAACTGACTTGTTCTTTGAAAAAACTTCAAGTTGTGAATTCTTCAAAAATATATATGCCCTTAAAGCTCTTTAAATTTCAAGAAAAATGTATGATTGGGGCTTTTCTGATAATATTAACTTAATTTGAGGAAAATAGATCAATAGGTAAGCTTTTAACTCCGCTAGGAAATCTGATAATTGAAAGACGATCAACTTTTTCGTGACCTGTACACTTTCACTGTTCAAGAGCAGAGTTTGCCTTCCTTTTAACAACGGAATTGAACTGAACTTCAAAAAAAAAACGAAAATCAAAAGGGGAAAAATCAAAAAATGAGCGTGATAAGACTTTTTCCTACTGATAACTACTTTTAATTTTTTACGACGATGCATTTAATGCTGATTTTTTGTTACTTAGTACAAACGGGTAATTTTTCCTGAAACAAAAACAAAAAAAATACAACGACATACATAATGGTACTCACTACGTTCATTACTCTTAACAAGATAATTAACACGTTGTGGCCGTGCACATGAAAGCTAAAAGAATAAGAGACACAAAATACAAAGCAAACCAGCCAAGTACAAAATCCCTCAGCTTATAATTTTTTTCAATAAAACAAGGTCAAAATTTATCATGGTAAAAGAAATTACTTCACAATTCCTTCATCATTTCGTCTAAAACCCATTAGAATTTCATTAATTAGGGCAAATTAAAATAAAACGAACAAAAGTAGAGAAAGTCAGATGGTTGGGAATCATGCCAACAAGATGGAGAAAACTAACACCTCCTCAAAATAAACCGCAGCTTATAAAAACAACTTAAAACAACGGACCGGCACTAAAAGCATTTGTGTCGCTTAGAAAGCGACACAAATGCGACGTCGATTTGCGTCCAATTATAATTGTCGTTGAATCACTCACAAGATGAAGATTTTTGTTCCCACCATTTGAAAAATGGGGAGAAACTTTGTATTCGGGTGTGTTTTAGTTTTCTTATTTTTTGTTTTTCACGCATAATCAGCTACAATCAATGATCATGTGAGAGAGTTGAGCAATATATCATAATAAAACCCTTACAGTCGTAATTCGAACATTTAATAATTCAAAAAAAATTCCCTGTGTCGAAAAAAACTGGTTTGTAATTATAATTTTTCTGTCTTATTCCGATCGAGTAAAGCTGGCGAGCAGGCTTAGTTAAGCTTAACTTAGGCCTTTTACAATAGCTAATTTCAGTTTACTTTTAATTTTCCTCGAGTAAAGTTAGTTTTTGAGTTTTTAACGAGATTACTGAAAATTCGGCCAAAGTAATTTGAATTTTTATTTTTGTTAATCAGTTTTATTGTTTTTTTAGTCATTTTTCTTCAAAAACTGTCGTTCAAAACCTTCGAAGCTGAAATCCTAACGCACATTATACAAGCGTGAGGAGTTATCCAGCACTACAAAATTGTTCCAAACCGAATCGGGGCAAGCAACTTTGGTTTATTCTTTCCTTACACGACTCAACTTTCAACTCTACAAACTTGATATTATCAGCCTAAAAATCAACTTTTCCTTAAACAAAAACTATTTGAAACGTTTTGTAAATTTTGTGAGAAACCCCACTAGCGCTGAGCTAGATGTTAAAATGTTGTTACCTCAATTGCTATTTCGAATTCAAGTATTATATTCCTAATTTCGAGTTTCCGATTTCGAGAACTTAAAGGTAACGAGTATTTTTTTGAGTATTTATGAGTATTGAATATAATCCGAAAATTGCTTTTAGCTTTTAGCTCATTTTGACATTAAAACATTTTTTAAAATATTTTTTATTAATATTTTTTGTTATTTTTTATTTGTAATCGGAAGGTCAAAAGTATCATAGTAACCGAGGTTACAGTCAGGAGTCCCTTCATCACGTATTCCAGCCAAATCCTTGGAATTTTCTAGATATGGAAGTGATAATAATAAAAGATGAAAAGTGTTTAAATCCTTTTCTATTAAAATCGATACGGGTTACGTTTCTTCAATAAGAACACGCAACTCGACACGAGAAAATATAATATACAAGTGTTACATTTTTTTTCAAATGGGCCCTTTCCGGCGACGGTACGTGCACAGGTTGGATAGGGCCATACCAACGCCATACCAGAGCAAGACGGCTGGCTAACCTATGTCCCATCAAGTTGAACGAATTTGGACTGAAGAACAAGCTCCTGACATGGATGTGGATTGTCTTAGTGAAAAGTTTCTCTGAAAGCAACTTATGCAGCTGGAAGACTTATTGCGACTGTACAACCTGTAGACTTCTCGTAAACACCTGATCAACTGTCTCTGAACGGGGGCAACCCCTTGCGTTTATACGCTAAATTCCTTATAATAATAATAATAATAATATAAATACATCGACAAAATTTTATGAATGAATCAAAACTATTTTAATGCATCAAGAGAATTGTCAATTGAAATCTACCCTCCTCGATTACAGCACAGATAGAATTGTCTATTTTGGATGTATTTTCAAGTTTTTTGCAACCCCTAAAGCAGAGGATTGCACTCCTCAGAAGTGCAAAACTCATTTTTGTGCTTATATAGTTAATTGTGTCCGAGTATGACTCGTTCCGTTTTTCGCTTAGTTTCTCTGCTAGTTTCTGGACGGTTTTTGTAGAGCCCGGTGCTGCTCCTCCGGTACACGCAAAAATTAGTTGAACAAAGCTGCAGTGTTCCACGTCCAGAATTCTTTGTTGGTATTTTAATATTTTGACACTCTCATGATATTTGTAGGAGTCAGATATAGTTTTAGGGCAGGATTCAGCATGGGGGTTGAAAATTTCCACATCGAAAAAGGTTCGGCTGAATCGGCCCTCCCCAGAGTCCATTTGCCTTGATGTCAATTCGAGCGTCATCTTCAGTAGTGGTTGTTTGGTTGTGAAAATTTTCGCCTTCCAACGATTGAATTTTCGGCTCTATTTCAACATCATGGCATACTTTGTCCAGGAGTGTCGCAAGGGTATCGCGAAATTCATTATGTCTTAGGTGACTGTATCCACCTTTGGGACAGTGCAGGGAGTGGGTCAGTGTGAATGGTTGTCCACACGGTCATGTATGTGGGGTATTTAGTGGCTCCCATCCATATCTCAGGTGTAATCCATCTTTAAACTTTGATTTGATGAGAGAGAACTTGTATTTTTTAGGGGGAGCACATTTAGCCAATTCGATGCTCCTATCTGTGACGCTAGATTCATTGTCAGTTTTTTCTCTGATGAGCAATTTTCCATAATTTTAGCCTTTTTTGAGAGTTTGATGTTCTGTTTCTCAGTTTTGATGTTTCTATTTATCAGAGTTTGTTCCGTTTCAGCTATTTCTGTATCACTGTTTTCCAACGGATCACAAATGGCTCGTGACCACTCATAGTTTTTGGAAAAGTCCGTGTTACTGAGGTGATCTAGTCCTCCCATTCTTAGTGTTAGTGCAAAAAGGTTGCGATCTTCATCGGTTATATGGTTTTTACCAGTAATACCAGGAAGTAGCTGCTGTCTTACGTTTTTCTCAATTTCATCCAACTTCTTAAATGCTTCAGGAGTTGTTCTGGTTAGAAAGTTTAACTTATTTTGACCTCCCTTTGTGTAGCAGGAGTACTCATTTTGTGATGATGTTTGAGCTATTTTGGAAAGCTTTTCTGTTAGGGTAGCTGTCTTTTCAATTTCGCTTTCGATGTATTTATCGCATGCTTATGGTGTTCCTATGACCAATCTAAGGACTCTAAAACCGTCTACCATTGTAATATTTGTGCCTTCGAATAATTTTATGGCGCTTTCACGACAGTTTTCTTTTACTACGAGTTGACACTTGGAGGGCTTCACATTGTACCCGAAAGCCTTTCCGTGCACATCTAGGTTGTCCAGTATTTCGCGGAGACTCTTAAGATCACCTGCAGCGCTTCCATCATCTGCGTACCTTTTTTGGGTGACATTTGTCTTTTGCAGGAGCTCAATCAGTGGGATTATTCCAATTCCGTACATAGCCATTGCGAGGGGATCACCTTGCGCTGTGCCTTCGGTAGATGTCAAAACAGTGTTATTGACATATAAATTTGAGGAATGTTTAAATGAGTTGGCCAGCGCATGATGTAGTGCCGGACAAAGGATTTCTACATTTTTCAGAGCAAGTTCTCTTTTGAGCGAGTTGAAGGCGTTTTCTGCATCAATAAGTAGTATGGCTTCCGTTTCCGGTTTCTCAAACTCCTTCCTCAAGCTGTGGATAGCATTTTCGATTCCACACTTCTGGCCTAAGCGGAATTTTTTCCGAGATTTTTAAGGTCTGATTTTATACATTGGGTGATTGTTTTGCCAATTATTCTTCTCAGAACCTCGGCTATACCAATGGGCCGTACCCCTGGATTTTTGCCCAGAGGTATCAGGCGACACGAGTTGTAAGCTGTTAAGATTTCATGGGGTACAATTTTACTTGCTATTGTATAGGATAGTTTAGCAATTGTTTTGCAAAGCTCAATGGATGTCTGGTTGAAGTGAGTTAATATCCTTCTCCATTCGCACGCATCTAGTCCTGAGTGACCGTGGCTTCCTTGCGTTTTCAGGGTTGATTTTCGAACTGTCTTGGCGTTGATTTGTTCCAATTTAGAGGGGTGGTATGGCATTGTGTCTTCATTTAATTCAGTTATATAGTTAGTTTTTGCTGTTTTGGCTGGGGGGTGTTTTTCTTTCAGGATATTGAGGACTGTTTTTCCTTCAATGACTTCTTTTAGGGGAAGTACTCCTTTTGTTTTCTTGTCTGAAAGGCAGCCAATGGCGGCAGATATTTTGCCTGTACTCATTAGTTTATCAAATTGCTTAGCTTCCTCGTTTACTTCGGACTTCTTCTGTTTTGGATGTCTAATTTGGAGAGCTTTCGCTTCAGTGAAAAGTTTGTCTAATAG